ATTTTCTAATGTTTATTATGATTTCTTCCTTAATTCTATGGTTAATTAGAAGTCAGAGTTATTTAGAAGTTAGGTTATTTACATGCTGATTTTAATTTTTTTTGTAATCTATTGAGACTTACTTTTATGGCCCCACATGCGGTCAATTTTAGCAAATGTTCCATGTGTCCTTGAAAAGAATATATACTCTGCAGTTGTTGGATACAATATTTTTTGTAAGTCAATATAATCAAGTTTGTAAATTATGTTCAAATCTTTTAATTTTTATCAGTATATTTACTATTTTGGTGTGCTTGTTCTATCAATTATTGATAAAACTATATTAAAACAAGCTCTCGCTATGATTGCCAATTTTTGTTTATCTTTTTAGATCTACCAGTTTCTGCTTTATACGGTTTGAAGCTATGCTCTTACAGACATTAAATTTAGAATCAGTATATCTTATATAGTGATTCCTTTAATCATTATGAGTAATTACTCTACTCCCTTAGAGTAAGGCTTTATGCTTTATATATATGTATATTTACATCAGTTTTCTTTTAGTTACTGTTTGCATTTTATGTATTTTTCTCTTTTCACTTTCAACCTTTCTGTATAATGTTTAAAATGTCTCTTGTAAGCAGCATACAGCGAGTATTAAAAATTAACCAATCAATCTTTATATTTTACTTAAGAGTATTTAGTCCTTATACATTTAACGCAGTTAATGTAAATGCTGATTATTTGGAGTTAAATCTACTATTTATTCCAGAAACTCTCTTTTTCTTCCAATTTCTTGCTTTTTTTGTATTAATTAATTAATTTCATTATTTCATTCCCCACTACTATTAGCCTATTAGTTATCCAGTCTTCTACAAGCATTTTAGTAGCTGCCCTGTGAGTTAAAACATTTATTTATGATTTATAAAAGTTTAATTTCAGTTAGTACTTTCACCACTTCTCAAATAATTCAAAGACGCTTAGAACACTTTAACATTATTTATAATGTCCTAGACTTTTTAAAAAAGCTATTGCATATTTTAATTCTATGCATACAAGCAGTTCTACTTTGCATGGCTCCAATACACATGAAGTTCAGTTACCATGGTTTAATCAAATGTAAATGATAACTGTCCTCAACAACATCCCTCAAGTTTCAGTTGCCATAGTATATTAACTATTAATCACTGAATAAAGTACAAACTTTGTTGCCAGCTCTTCAGTCCACAGATCACTATGTAAATAACAGATGCGCATTATAATAGGTGACCAACTACATCTCTCTTTCAAAGTCATTGATGGTTGCTCACTGGGCATCTCTTGCTCAGTTCATTCACAAACAATAAAGCATGTCATTGTGTTTCCTATGTGTTTCCCAGTAATCACCTCATATGACATTGCCTAAAAATGGCTAATTGAAAGAGTGAATTTACCAATAAAGATGAAAATGAAGCAAAGAAATGAAATGTAATGTTACTGAAAGGAAATCCAAATGGAATCATAGAATAAATCACTGGCATGAAAAGTTGATACCACCATCTGAGACTATTTATTTATTTTAGAGACCAGGTCTTGCTCTGTCATCCAAGCTGGAGTGCAGTGGTGTGATCATAGCTCACTGCAGCCTTGAATGCCTGGGCTCAATTAATCCTCTCACCTCAGCCTCCTGTGTAACTGGTACCACAAGTTTGCATTACCATGCTCAGCTAATTTTGTTTTTCTTTTTTTTTTTTTTGGTAGAGACAGGATCTCACTATGTTGTCCAGGCTGGCTGAGAAACTCTAGATATTTAATCAGAGGAACTTAGTGATGGGAGAAAAATGGATGCAAAGGATAAAGATGTCCCAAAAGATACAATGACGGTAAAAAAAAAAAAATTCACATTAAAGAAACACTTGAAAATATTTTATAATATTTAAAAAGCAAAGGATAAAATGATGGAAGCTAATCTAGACTTAGAAAGAAGTATGACAATTTCCCAGGGTATTGAAAAGATATTCTCTTGTAACTTATATAATAAAGATAAAAGGTCAAGCACTGTCTAAGCTACTCTTGGTAAGTTTTTACAAGGCAGTAAAGCATTTTACTTGTAAGTGTTTCTAATATTGACAATTACAGTATGTGAAATATTAGTTTTATTATTTTTTCCTATTTATAACTGAGAAATTTTAATGTTTTCATAAAAGCTTTTAGAAGTCACAACACAATTTTTCTTATTGATTATTAAGATTGCTTAATACACTTTCAGTTAGCACAATTTTATGATCCCACACTATCATACAGAGCAAAGAACAGTATTTTAAATCCCCTAAGACATTATTTCATTTTGTGCAGTCAAGGTTCATTTATATTTACCCATATATTGACCTTTTCTGTTGCTTTTCATTTCTTCCTGCACAGAAATGTGTTAGCATGTGGAATCGCTTTACTTTTGTCTTAGTAATTCCCATTAGTAGTTCCTTTAATATGAGTCTAATGGTAATAAATTCTTTCAATTTTTGTTTGCTTGAAGTATCTATCTTTTTCTAATTTTAAATAATCTTCTGGTTGGTCTGGCAGATATTTGCTGTTTTGTTGTTCACAAATATCTTTCTATTGTTTTATAAATTCCATGATTTCTGTTGAAAAGTCAGCTATTAGTCTTGTTACATTCTTGAAAGTATTATTTATTATTTTCTTGCTGCTTTTTTTTTTTTTTGAGATGGAATCTCGCTCTGTTGCCCAGGCTGGAGTGCAGTGCAGCTCACTGCAACCTCCACCTCCCGGGTTCAAGTGATTCTCCTGCCTCAGCTTCCTGAGTAGCTGGGATTACAGGCACACACCACCATGCCCAGCAAATTTTTGTATTTTTAGTAGAGATGAGGTTTCACCATGTTGGCCAGGATGGTCTCAATCTCCTGAACTTGTGATCCACCCGCCTCGGCCTCCCAAAATGCTGGGATTACAGGAATGAGTCACTGCACCCAGCCTTGCTGGTTTTTATAATTTTCTTTTTGTCTTTGTTTTTTAGCAATTTTACTATGATATGGCTTGATGTGACTTTCTTCATATTTATCCTTTTGGGGTTTGCAGTACTTCTAACATATGTGACTTGGTGTCTCTTAAGAGTTTTGGAAAGTTTCTTTCAAATATTGCTTCTCTCATTCTTTCTCTCTTTTCTTGGGATCTAACAGGTTAATAATTTAATCATAGGTATGCTAGACTTTTTATTGTGCTACATATTTCTTATTTTCTCTTTCTCTCCATGCTTCAGACTGATTATAGTCTTCTGACCTATCTTCCAGATTACTAATTCTCCATTGAGCTCTGTCTAATCTCTTGTTAAACTCATGTATTTAGATTTTTGTTATTGACTTTTTAGATTCTAGAGTTTACAACTGATCTTTTTTATCATTTTCAGTTTTATTCTGAAATTCTCTCTTGTCATTTAAATTTTTGAACATGCTAGTTATTTTAAAGTCTGTGTCTGATAACTCCAATATTTGAACTTCCTAAGGATCATTTTCTGTTGTCTATCTTCTTCTCTTGATTTTTTTGCCCCGCAAACTTTTGAGTTATTTTTGATTGATTCAAAGCTAGGTTTTAGTCTTTGCAAGGGCTGATCTATTCACAGTTTTCCCATACTTCTAAGACGAAGCTCTTCAGTGATCTCAACTAAAACCCTGGATTGTTTACTAGGAACAATCTTTCTTAGCAGGCCCTGAACTCAAATTTTGATTTTCCTAGCCCTAATAGATGCTAAACCTCTGGTCAGCTTCTTAGCCCTTAAGCTGTTGCTTACAATTCAGGAAATACCTGAAGGGGAAAAATAACCAAATGATGTTTTTGGGATTTGCTTATTGCCCATTGAGTTCTTACTGTTTTCATAACACTCTAATATTTTCAAACATTTTAAAAAAGATTCAGCTCCTTAAGCTATTCTCAGACAAATAGTTGATCTGATGTAAGGTAGCCTACCATACTTGGAAGCAGTATCTTGGGCCTCAATATTCTTGAAAGCAACTTAATGTAGTGGATAGGGAATAATTTTTAAGTAATACATTTATGGTATAAAGATTCTGGCCCTATCCCTTAGTAACTGTTCGACCAAGGAAAACATATTTAGCCTCTCTGCATTTATGTTTTTCTTATATAAATAATGGAAATAATTGTATCTGCTTCACAGGGTTGTTTTAAGGGTTAAATAATAACCAGACAAATAACATTCATGCAATGTTTAATGTAATATTAGGATATACTAAGTATTTATAGATAAGTATTTTTGTTTCTTCATCAAGAAAATCGAGTTAATGATTAGTAATACATAGCTGCTTAAAATAATGCTAATACATAGCTGCTTAAAATAATGCAATGTGATTATTTATGTAACACTTTTAATAGATTGTAATCTACTAGAGAAATAGAAAAATTATTCTGAGGTATATTGACTGGTTTTCATTTGCTAGATATAATTCAATATTTATGATAAACATGAAGTTGCAACTCTTATTACACTTATTTTGCAAATGAGGCTAGGAAAGGTTACATGACTTGTCCAAGGCGAGATAAGGAGTAGGCAGAGATGCTGGTGTTCAGATCCAACTCTGACCCACCCCAGAACTAAGGTTATTAAATTCCCTACTGTCCTAATCTCACTAAGCAACTCTTCTCTTTCCGAATTAAGGAAAATATGCCAGCTTTGTAGAATCTTGTACAGACCATAGAATCAAGTAGTTACTCAGTAAGTACTTATTGTCTCACTGACATTCACATCAACAAAATATGCTGACACAGTAGTAATAGAACAGATAGTGGTTCAAGAACAGAACTTTTCATGTTGTCTAACTTCCAACTATGGAATTGAGGTATAATGAAGATGAATTAACATAAATTGAGAATGAGAACAAGTTAATAATTTAATCATAGACGGAAGTTTTGACTCACAATCTAGAAACCAGCTCCCACTGCCATCTGGAGCCCCAAGATTATCAGTCAAGAGTGGTTGTGGCTTAGGTCTATGCTGCACTTTTCCTTGTACTTACATGTGAGTCACTTTACTCAAATTGTAGAAGGAGTGTGATTCGAGCTGCTGCAGAGTTGCATCTATAGACAAGTAGCTGAATGTCAGAAAAAATAAGACAAAATAGAAAGTTAATAAGGTTGTAAACTTCAAACATACTTTTTTTTTTTTTTTTTTTTTTTTTTTTTTTTTGAGACGGAGTCTCACGCTGTTGCCCAGGCTGGAGTGCAGTGGCGCGATCTCGGCTCACTGCAAGCTCCGCCTCCCGGGTTCCCGCCATTCTCCTGCCTCAGCCTCCTGAGTAGCTGGGACTACAGGCGCCCGCCACCGCGCCCAGCTAATTTTTTGTATTTTTAGTAGAGACAGGGTTTCACTGTGGTCTCGATCTCCTGACCTTGTGATCCGCCCGCCTCGGCCTCCCAAAGTGCTGGGATTACAGGCTTGAGCCACCGCGCCCGGCCCAAACATACTATTTTTGACGTAACTTTTTGTTATGGGTTTCCCAGATCATGCAACATGTATAACCCTCATAGATTCTGCCTAATTATGTTAAAATTACTTACTACTTTTTTTTCAGATCTCGTGATACCTGAATTCTTCCTGTATGTTAACTCCTATTTATCCTAAGTTCTCATTTAACTGTCATTTCCTTCAGAAACTTTCCCCAAACTCCCTGATTAAAATTTCCCATATGTATATATAGGGATATATATACATATGGTGTTACCCTGTGGAATGTTCCACTGGAGAATTGCGGTTTTCTCTTCATCTTCTTTGAAACTACGTGTCTAATTCCATGTTATTAGACATTCCATTAAAAATGCTTCTTATTCACTCTAGTGTTCTTTTCTGATGCTTGTGTTTTCTTGTTTTTTGTTTTTTTTTCGATTTTGAGGAACTCTTCCATTTTAAAGGAACTCTTCTATTGCCTTTAAAATACACAGATGTCTAAACGTGGTCTAGGATAATTAAATCAGAGTTTATGAAGGATGAGTCAAGTACTTTTATTTTTCAAAAGCTTCTTAGCTGATTCTAATGTGTAGGCAATTTTGAGAACCACTGACCTATAGTTTGAATTGAATCTGCCATACATATGTATATATATGGTATATATACAGGGATATATATAGTGAGATATCACTATATATCACTACAGACTCCTTTCACTAATTATCACAGTGCAAACTTCCCATTCTTTGGGTGATATTTATGGTGTCTCACTAGACTGTAAATTCTCTGAAATGCAGAACTGTGTCTGTTTTTGGCCACTGACTCTTGAGTGCCTTTCAGAGTGCTTGGCATGTTGTAGACTCTTATTAAGCGACTGAATGAATAGAAGAGTTCCTCAAAATAGCAAAAAAAAAAAAAAAAAAAAAAACCCAAAAAACAAAAAACAAACAAAAAAAACCCCACGAGCATCAGAAAGGAACACTAGAGTGAATAAGAAGCATTTTTAATGGAATGTCTAATAACATGGAATTAGACATGTAGTTTCAAAGATGAAGAGAAAACCGCAGTTCTCTAGAGGAGCATTCCACAGGGTGACTACATACTCACTTAAGAATTCTCTTCGTGATTTTAAATGAAACTGAAAATTCAAGGTCCGTCTTAAACTTTGTAAGCAAAAAGTAATTCAGATAAAAGCTTCAAGTACTGAAAAAGGAAGAGAAATTCCTAAATACAACTTGTCAAGAACATATAAGGAATGTTTCAAATAGTTTCCTCAAATTCCATCTTGTGATGAGAATGACTAATGCGGCCAAACTCAATGACCACTTTCTGTTGAGAGGTATTTCTATGACATTTGTGATAATGAACAATTGACAGCTGGTTTCCAGCTATAGCCATAGCAGAGATTCTCAACCCTGGACATGCAATTAAACTACCTGAAGGGCTTTTAAAATACACAGATGTCCAAGACCTGGTCTAGGATAATTAAATCAGAGTTTATGAGGGATGAGTCTTTTACTTTTCAAAAGCTTCTTAGCCGATTCTAATGTGTGGGCAGTGTTGAGAACCACTGGCCTAACGTTTGAATTGAATCTGCCCATAAAATATCCTCAACAATGCAATGTTTACAAGAGGAGTGCTGATTGTTCCATTCTGAGTTTTTGTCTTGGTTATTACAAGTATTCTAATGGCTCTGTGCTTTCTATTTTGAACTACTCGTTCTCTAAACAATTATCCTTTGATTTACCCAGTCTCTTAACCCTTTGCCTCTTGTGGATAATAACATATGAACTTTTTTGATACAAATATATTTCTAACATAAAGGAAACAGTGGAACAGATTGAAAAGAATGAATGTGCCATGTAGAGACTGTGGGGATTTATCATGGATGAAGCTGAGCCAGCTAGCAGAGCAAGATTCATTTTTCAAGGCTGCCAACTGGTTTTCCTAAGCATCTTTTCCGTTGCTCCAAATCTTCTACTGAATTTCTTAGTTAAGAAGTATGAGTCTTTCTTAAGATTCCAGAAGGATAGTCACTTGGCCCATATTATCAAATGGAAGTTCCAGTTTCTCCAACCCAATAACACCTCTTTGAAGGGCTGTGATAGCTTGGTTGTGAAGACAACTGGTAGGAATCGTTTATTCAGTGGGATAAAAATTGCTATTCCCTGCTTACTTACCCCATTCTATAACTAGGAAAAATCAGATCCTACTTCTCCTTCATATGTAAATATCATATAATCATTACAATCATCATATGATTTATCATTCAAACTGGGCTATTTTTGTGAGTTAAAGCAAGGTGCTGTTAACAATTATGCCAGAATACCAAGTGGGAATTTGAACCATTTCAGACAAACCTAGCTTCATCCTATTGATCTCTTTTTTCTCCCCAAGATATATCAAATCTTTAATTATTATTCAGGTATGTATATGTGCTTTTATTCCACAAATATGTATTGAACATTAGTTGTATGACAGACATCCTTCTGGACAATGACAAAACAGGCCTGTTCCCTACCTTCAAGGAACTCACAGTACTCAGAGATACAGATTAACATACAAGGTAAATGGGATTAACGCAAGGTGTTAAGTGCTTGATAGAGTTCAGGGAACCCTATCACTTAACCCAGACTGGAGAATCCAGCACTCTTCCTGGGGGAAGCCTCAGTGGAGCCTTCAGATCTGTTTGGGTGTCTCCTATATCTCAGTCAACCAACCCTCTTCTTATTGCTCATCACTTTTATTTCAAATCTTCTCATCAAATTTCTAACTCTGCCACTTCCATCTTCCATCTTCTTAGATGTCTTTTAATAATTTGATAAGTTATAGAAATGTTTGAAACTTTAAATGAGAATGCCTTGAATTCCCAACCAATAAGCCTGTTAGTTTACCTGCATCTGTCCCATCTTTTCCTACAACTGAGACAGTTAAGTAGAAAAGGGCTCCGTAGCAGAACCTTCAACTGCCTGTGCCCTGGGAGAAGTATGTACTGGGGTGGAGCTTTGGGAAGTTCATTTATAGTGGGGAGGAGCCTGGCCTTTCCTGTTCTGAGGTGGTACCTGGGATTCAATCTGTGAGGCGGGAAACGGGTTGGGAGGACTCTCGCTTTGCTGAGAGTCCCTGTTTCCCTTTTTTCCCCTTTCACCCAATAAATTCTATTTTTATCACTTTGCAAAGTGTCTGTGAGCCTAATATTTTATGGACTTGTGACAAGAACCCGGCTTTTAGCTGAACTAAGGAGAAAGTCCTACAACATAACTTTCTTGTTATGATGTAAAATGTGACCATCTTCCTATAGAAGGCCAATCCCTCTATTTGGATTTCATCCCCTCCTGCCTCTTCAGGGACCACATGCTCTTAAAATTGTTCTTTCTTCACTCTCTTTAGCTTCTCCCTCTCTATGGATGCCTCCTCCTGGTCCCAGTTACACCCATTTGTTTGTGACTCTTAATCTCTACCTGAATCTTTCCCTGTGTGCCCCCATATACCCAGAACTCCCAATCCTCTTTACTCTATTTTTTTCTTTGTCCCATACACTTATTTCCTTCTAAATTAGTATCTAATTTGCTTATTTATTGTGTTTTTCGTTCATTGTCTATTTCCTCCCATTCAAATGGAAACTCCATGGGGACATGGATCTTTGTCTGTTTGTTCCCTGATGTATCACCAGCTCTCAGAGCAGTGATTGGCACATAGTAGGGGCTAAACAAATATTTGTCAAATGAATGAAAAAATTCTGTCTATGTCCTGATATGTACTCGATCTGCACCTCAAATGCCATACGCCCCAGATTGAATTCCTAACACACCCCCTGACCCTCCACAGCAAATATACAAAACACTTCTCTGCCTAAATGAATGTGCTCATCAACCACACAGATGTCCTAATCAGAAACTTGTATGCATTTCTTTTCCATCTCCCACCATCTCCAAATCAGACAACTTTGAAGTTTATCAGCCCTCCCCTTATTTATGTCTCAAATCTCTATCCTTTTGCATTATTCCCACTCAATGATCATCCTTCAGTTTCCCATCCCGTCCTTTGGGCGCTGCATCAGCCTCTTCACTAGCTTCCTGCCTACAGCCTTGCTCCACTTCCACCCATCACTCCACTGCAAAGCCAAGGGAATGTTTCTCAAATGAAAATCTGACCGTTTCACTTGCCTGCTTAAAACCATTGAATGGCTCAGCCCTTAGGGAAGATTTCAAACTCCTTCACATGATTTACAAGACCTGGCACTAACTTAGACCCAAGTTCTATGTTTTTCTATTGCCCACCTCCCTGCCTAAGCTCTACCTCCAAGAAACTTTTAATTCTTCAGAAAGCCCAGGATTTTCCCTTCTGCTTTTTGCTATGTAAGGCAGATCACAGGTCAGGTGCGATTTTTTTTTTCAGGAAGTCTTCTCCAACTCTTCTCCCTGCTCCTGTTTAGATAATAGACCTCTTATGTGAGTTTCCATATCACCCAATAACTGACCCCATCATGACACTCATCACTCTCTTAGGAATAAAACTGAACCTCCGTGAGTTTTGTCTACTGTTACACACGGAACATCTAGCAAAGTGCCAGGCACAAAGAGGGCTCAATAAATATCTGTTGAATGAATGAAGTAATGGCCAAGCTGCTAGGACATGCAAGTAGAGACACCAAATAGGCAGTTGTATAAGGTAGATGAGGGAAAAGGAAGAGCTAGAGAATTCGAGGTTTTCAGCTTATAGGATGCTAAAGTGGTGCTGTTAAAAGAGAAGAGATAGCTTGGGAGGAAGATGATGTGTTTATTTTGGATATGCTGGTTTTGAAGAGCCTGTGAGACATCAAAGTGGTAATGTTTGGAAATTAGCTGTGTTAGGAAATAGTGCAGCCAAAGGAATGGGAGTGTTTACTCATGGAGAGTGGGGTATAGAGGAATTAGAACAAAATATACAAAGAAAGAGCTGGTAATTAAGTAGCTGGCAAAATTAAAATAGGAAGTCAGAAAAGGAGACTGAGGAAGAGTAGCCGGGGGAAGAGGAAGAGGAATGAAAGAGGAATATGAAGGAAAACAAAGAGGCAAGAATCTGAAAGAGGAAGGACTTGTTAGCAACATAAAAAACTGCAGAGATGTTCAATAGGATGGTCTCTCAGTCTCAGCACTGCTGACATTTTGGAATAGATAATTCTGTTATGGGGAATGTCGTATGAACTGTAGAATGTTTAGCAGCAACCTTCACTTTTACTCACTAGGTGCCAGTAGCAGCCCCGTCTCTACCAAAAATGCTAAATGCTTATAGGGGTAGAGTTGCCTGTGGTTGAGAACTACTGAAATGACAGAAACACTAACCAAATGGCCACGGAGTGAGTGCATTTAGCCAAAAACTGTACAGATTGCTTCTGGTTATATTATTTTGCATGCCTGAATTATCTGGATTGCCTGTCAAAATCAATTAAATGAAATAAAGATCTGCTTCATTTCATTCACTCTTTGTCCACCCAATATGGAAAATCCATTTTCTCCTCACTCTAAGGGGATAGCAATTCAATTTTTAAGGTTTAGAATTTTTTTAATTCTCTTTTAATGCGAGAGAGATTTGAAACCATTGGCTATGTTTATAATAAAATGTAAATATTTGTATTAGTAGTGAAAGAATTGGTGACTAGGACAGATGGATGTTTGTCTGTGTATATGTTTAGCTTATAAACTATGGGATGTTTATAGGAGAGATTTACAGCTAAGGTTTTGCCACATCCCAAGATATATTAAAATACATCGAGAATTATGAAATTCTCAAAACCAAATTAATCTAAATTTGATTTAGGTTTTAAAAAATCATATAGGAATTAGGGAGTGGAGATATAGCAAAATCAAATAAAAATTATGTACATAAAATTGTCATATACATTGAAAATGTAACTGCCATTGATTTATGCAAGTATAATAGCGAGTATTTTTCTTGATAGGACACATTTAGAGAATAACATATCACAAATGCAAACTTCTCTTTATATTTAAAAAAACTTACATTCTGGAAATATTGGGCAGACTAGAAAATGCGTGACTTGGAATGGTTCTCAGGCGAGTCTCAATAAGCTTCCTGTGAAAATAACAATCACACAATTAGAGTTTTAATCTTTGGGCCTTTCTAATAATTCACCTTAATTATAAAAACACATTATTAAAAAGCATGACAGTTTTTACATATGTTTCCTTACACATAATCAACAAAAAAAAACTCAACAAACATACCAAAGAACCATACATATACATTTTTTCTCCCAATAAGAATTGAGTGTGAGATTCAGATGCAGAAAATAAATCATCAAACCTCATCTATGAATTAGCAGTAAACTAATATGTCTTGCCTCGCATCATACTTTATTTGTTAACTGAAGGGCAAGATTTCTTGGGGGTCTTTTTATTAAATTGAAAAACGTGATTATTTTACCTTTTACTTTAGGTTTGGGGGTACATGTGCAAATTTTTATATAGGTAAACTCGTGTCACAGGGTTTTTTTTTGTAATGATTATTTCATCACCCAGGTATTAAGCCTAGTACCCAATAGTTACTTTTTTCTGCTCCTTTCCCTCCTCCCACCCTCTGCCTTCAAGTAGGCCCCAGTGTCTCTCTGTTCTCTTTTTGTCCGTGAGTTTGCATCATTTAGCTGTTACTTATAAGTGAGAATATGTGGTATTTGGTTTTCTGTTCCTCTGTCAGTTTGCTGAGGATAATGACCTCCAGCTCCATCCAAGTCCCTGCAAAGGACATAATCTTGTTCATTTTTATGGCTGCATAATATTCCATGGTGCATATATACCACGTTTTCTTTATCCAATCTGTCACTGATAGACATTTAGATTGATTCCATGTTTTTGCTATTGTGAAAAGTGCTGCAATGAACATTCGTGTGAACAACACAATATATTCATAAGTATATTAAGACTACTGAATTTATAACATGTGCTTGTCAATGGAAATGTCTTGGAATGCTATCAGAATATACATAAAGTACATATTAAAAAGAATTAAATGCATGTTTTAAATCTTAAGGGTTAAAAATAGTGGCATGGTTACTCCCTTCTCACACAAGTAAAAGTCTCCTCAATCATATCTTGATCTTATCATCTACGTGCTGCAGTCTGGAAATAACTGACTGGCAAGGAGCAAATTCTTCCTCAGAATCTTAAGACATCTTTGTCGGATTTGCACCTTAAAGGTGTGACTTTTCCTCCAGTTTGCTTTTTTGGAGACTCTTCAGAAGGTGAAGACTGTTCTCATTATACATAATGAAACACCTTCATGCATTCCCGTATGCCTCTCCACCTAGGCACTCCATTTTTTGAGTTATGCTCTTTACTATAGTTACTACTTGAGAATCTTGTATGGAAAACAGTGTGCATAGTGTATTAACTTGGCAAAAAGACAATGCCTTAAACACTACTCAGCTTCTCCATGTGTCTGTTTTTGCCATTTAATCACACTGGTAATCACACACCATCCAGTTAGTACCTCATTTATAGATATTAGAATAACATTGTGTATTTTTTCTTCTCTAAGCTGAGGTATTACTTCTCAACAATCTATTTCCTTGGTCTATGCTTTCTTTGAATTATTCCTTTTTGCAACGATTAAAATATATCTGTAACTTGCCTAATCAAAGCATCAGCAAGACCAAATTAATTAGTAAAAGGACCTATTAAAATGGATGGAGGGAGGTGATGTGAATGACAAAAGAGTAAATCTTCAGCTCTTTCCAACCTCTGGTGTTTCGCCATGAAGCCCAATATTGCCTTAATATTATTTCAGAAATTCAGGTCCCATAAATTACTTGTTCTCCTTTGAAGGCCTCCTACTTATATTTCCTTAATTGAGTTATCCAGATTCTGAAGCTAAAAAGATATGAGAAGAACAAGTCATTCTACCAAAATCTCTGTGTAAAATTGGGCCATGCCAAAGGAAAACAAAAGATACACACCTGTTGAGTATCACCCAAGGCAACTGAGTTTAAGCTTAAAGATAGTCTTACTCATAGAGCTGTCATAAGGCAAATATTTTGTGGGCATATTTATGGTAAGATTTTAGGTAATATGGGTCTAAACTGTAACTTTCACTGACTAAAATTTTTTGAGTTTAGCCCGTGTTCAAAAGTAAATAATGTGTATAAAATTAAATACAAAACTAGAATAAGATTACAATGGTTTCTAAGAAATTGAACGACTCAATAAAGCAAATAATCCTATTAAAATGGGCAAATGATGTGGCTAGACACTTCTCAGAAGACATATAAATGGCCAAGAGATATATTTAAAAATGCTCAACATCACTACTCAACAGGGAAATGCAAATTAAACCACAATGAGATATCACCCTGCACCTGTAAGAATGGCTATCATCAAAAAGGTGAATGCTAGCTAGTGTTGGCAAGGATGTAGAGAAAAGGGAACCTTCACACACTGTGTTGTGGAAATGTGAATTAGTACAACTATTTTGGAAAAAAGTATGAAGATTATTTAAAAAACTAGAAGTAGAAATACCATATGATCCAGCTATGCCACCCAAAGGAATAAAAATCAGTAAGCTGAAGAAGCGTCTGCACTCCACATTCACTGCAGCAGTATTCACAGTCGCCAAGACAAGGTAAATTTAAAGCTTTCTGGAAAAGAGTCATGATTCTAGATACCATTAAGAACATTTGTAATCCATGGGAGAAGGTCAACATTTCAACATTAACAGGAGTTTGGAGGAAGTTTATTCCAACTTCCATGGATAATCTTGAAGGGTTGAAAACTTCAGTGGAAGAAGTAACTACGGATGTGGTGAAAATAGCAAGAGAACTAGAATTAGAAGTAGAGCCTGAAATGTGACTGAATTGCTGCAAACTCATCATGAAACTTTATTCAATAAGGAGTTGCTTCTTATGAGTGAGCAAAGAAAGTGGTTTCTTGAAATGGAATCTAGTCTAGGTGAAGATGCTGTGAACATTGCTTAAATGACAAGAAAGAAATTGAGAATATTACGTAAACTTAGTTGATAAAGGAGAAGCAGGGTTTGAGAAGATTGACTCCAATTTTGAAAGAAGTTCCACTGCATATAAAATGCTATGAAACAGCATTGCATGCCACAGAGAGATCTTAGCACTGGTAGACTACACCATGTGGTGTAAACATAATTTTATATGCACTGGAAAACAAAATAAAATTGTGCAACTTACTTTATTGTGATGGCTTGTAAAGGAACCCATAATATCTTCCAAATCTTTCAAAATTGAAAAAAGGGTGGTTTTTAAGTGTTCTCATCACAAAGAAATACGTAAGGTGGTGTATATGTTAATTAGCCTGATTTGATCATCCCACAATGTATACATGTATCACAATATCATGCTGTACCCCATAAATAAATAGAATTATTTGTCAATTAAAAATTAATAATTTTTAACAGAAAAAGTGCATTACTTTACTATTTTTATCTTTATAGGATTGTACCTACCACATGGAGTTGCTATGAAGATGTAATAAATTATTATTAGAAGCACTTATAACAATGTTAGGAACATAGTGAACACTAGATGTTTTAAACAAAAACATATAAATCAGTTCACCAATTTCTTGATGATGAGAAATATAACTGTCACATAGATCTGAATATTCGTGATGGTATGACCAATTTTTCTTTTCAGCAGACTATTTTAGGGAACCATGAAATATTCAGAAGTTTGCCTGAAGATCATGAAATCAATCAAAACAGGAGATGGACCCATTTTTAAAAATGTTCTCAGGCTAAGAGAGCATAGTATTGTTGTTTTACACAAGAAATGACCTTGCCTTAAGGTCTGAACACTGATTTAAGTTTCCTTTCTCCTGGACATGGACTGGTTGGGAATTTCCAGAGTTCTCATCTCTGACTCCACTTTTCCTTTGTATTTATTGCTGATCAATCTCCTGCCTGATGGATGTTTTTTTCATATTGTAGAGTGTTATTCTGTTTCCCTTAAGAGATTTTATATGTCTTTATTATGATCCGTGTGTGTTACTTTAAAAATTTACTTGATTTCATTTGTTTCTAAGTTCTTAGGGAGAATTATAGTGCACCTTCAATATTATTGGGAGTATTTTATTGTAAACTGTGTTACTCTGTTTTCATACTGCTTTGAAGAAATACCTGAGACTGGGTAATTGATTCACAGTTCTGCATGGCTTGGGGGGCCTCCGGAAATACAATCATGGCAGAAGGTGGCAGAAGGTGGCAGAAGGCGAAGGGCAAGCAAACACCTTCTTCATGGCAGCAGGAGAGAGAGAACAAAGGGTGAACTGCCAAATACTTTAAAAACCATCCGCTCCTGTGAGAACTCACTATCCTAATAACAGCATGGGGGAAACCGTCCCCATGATCCAATCACCTCACACCAGATCTCTCCTTTGACATGTGGGGATTACAATTCAAGGTGAGATTTGGGTAGGGACACAGAACCAAACCTAGCCTTGGACTGCCGTTTAATACGTGTAGTGCTTTTACTTGGTATGTAAATAAAAGAAAAAAATTTAAATGTATCTCTTTGCTCTTCCTCACCCCTCACAGAACCATTTGGGCTTTGAGGAGCACTGTTTAATACCTATATGATTTTCAAACATTATTATTTTATGGATGAATAATCTGAAGAGAGGATGAGTGACTCAAATTAATTTAATAAAGTAATACTAGCCAATTTTCCTGCAAGCTTTTCATTATAAAGTACACATAGATATGGTATTCTAAAACTACATAGCCATAGATAGATTCCTTCCTTTGCTATGCAGTTGTGATCCAGAAGCATTTCAGGAACCAACACACATTTAGTAGACCACATATATTGAGTGCCTACCATGTTCCAGGCATTATGCAGAGTGCTGGGGTTGCTATGGTAAAGAGTCAAAGCTTCTGCCTGCCTGAAGCTGAGACCAATGTGGGAGCCAAACTTTGTTTTAAAATCTCACTTTAATAACTATATGCTATGAAGAAATAATACAAGACCTATGTGAGTACAGTGCATCCTCACTTAATGTCCTGGTTAGGTTCTTGGAAACTACAACTTTTAAGAAAATGATGTATAACAAAACCAA